GAGAAGGAAATAGAGACTCCCCTCTGTGACCGGTTAAAAGGACAACTTCCTCCTTCCGCCCCCCCCCCTCCCCCCCACCAATTCTAAGGCGCATTACACACTGCCCTCGAAATAGGACACTCATTGAAAGTTGCGGACCATTCAATTCCCATCACATCCAGTCTTGTGGCCTTGTGAACTAATTAATGTTATCGTGGGGCTAATGATAAATATCATTTACTTATTTCAAATGGTAGGCTTTATGATATTTATCATTAGCCCTTAATCTTTGACTTCAGCTTCCCCCAAGAGGTGGGGGGGGGTACATTTATAGCAGTTAATTAATAGCAATTCATAAGCTGTCTTCTTGCTTCCCAGTATCTCTGGCTTTCCGTCTTTGTCTTTAGGGCTGGACACTGAATCAGGTGGGTCTTCTCCATTTCCTCCTGTAGGTTACATAGAGGGCATGTGGGTTGAGTGTATAATCCCAATCTGTGAAGGTGTTTAGCCAAGCAATCGTGTCCGGTACGTAGTCTAAACTCAGCAACGGCTTCGATTCTTGGCCAGTCGGGTATGTCGGAGATTGCCACTGTCCACTGTTTCTCCTTTGTTCGAGCTTTAATTTCGTTGCACCTTGAGGTCTGGAATTCTCTCCTGATTAAGGCCTTCATTGTGTGGAAAGACATCGGCCGGTCCATGCATTGCAAAATCGTTGTCCCCTTCTTAGCAAGTGTGTCAACTACATCAATGTCTGCTAATGGGTTCATGGGGGGAGAGAGGCTTTTTGGTTTGTCATCGATTTGTAATGCTTTCTTCAGTTCTATGGCTTTCTATATTAGACCAGATTGCGTTTTCAGATGTCTTGGTCTATTCTCATAGGTGCTTAAGAACTTGTCAATGGGAATGTGCAGTAGCTTCTCGTACAGGATCAAGGCCTTTTCTTTGATAAGGTAACCTATTGTGGTGCTTCCTGTAACTAGGAGCATTGCATAAATGGGTGTTGATTTTATCCCTCCAGTAATTAGTCGTAATGCTTGGTTGTGTGCCTTCTCGAGTGGTTTGAGAGTCACCTCTGTGGCTGTAATGAGTGGCTCACAGTAATACAACATTATTGGCTGATTAAACATCTTGTAAGTGGTGTTGAGAGTTGAGCGTGCACAGCCCCATACGCTACCAGCAAGACACTTCAGTACATTCAGTCTATTGGAGACTCGTTCTGCTATTTTAGCATTATGACTTTTCCACGTTAGCTTTGTATCAAAAGTCATTCCGAGATAAGTGAACTCATTGGTTTTTTCTATGGTAGCATCCTTGTACCTTAGAAGTGGGTTTATGCTGTGATGGGCCAAAGAAAAAGTTTGGAGTGCAGTTTTTGCAGTGTTGATTACCATTCCATTGTTACGCGCCAGTTTGCTAGTAGTTTAAGTGCATAATTTAGGGCACTTTCTGTCCTCTCCTGAGCGTTTTTCTTAGGGGCGGAATACCATAGTACCAGACCATCTGCGTAAAATAAGCACTTGATGTCCGTGACTGTCTGTACCAATTCGGCTATGTCATTGATAAAGACATTGAAAAGAGTGCAGCTTGTGACAGCTCCCTGTGGAAGACCTGTTTGTAAAAGATTGGATTTTGATAGAGCATTTCCGTATCTGACTTTACACGATCTTTGTCCAATGAATGCTTTTATTCAGTTTAGCATGTTATGCTTAATACCAATCTTTGCCAATTTTAGAATTAGCTTCTCTTTCCATACTAAGTCATATCCTGATT